TTTTTCAAAAACCCACCTTGCAACAACGTATTTTTGGTGGCCGACATGTTCTTTTTGTCCAACAGATGGAAGCATATTTAGTTTTCAATCAACTTTGGAGACAATATATTTTTTTCTGAAAAAATCCTAGCCACCCACACACTCACAGTCAGAGAAATCCTATTGACCGTCCCATTTTGAAAACCTTGATGTGGACGTACAGGGGTAGAATTCAGACCCCTTGTATCATTTAGGTATTTTTGTAGAATGCCAGATACGAATATTACGTCATATATATATATATATTAATCTACTCTTGCATACAAGTGGGTGTCAATATAGGCTTTCTACTTGCGCCTGGCCTCGGCCTATGTATAAAAGCATGCCCTCTGCAATTTCTGAAGACCACGGGCCAAAAGACCAGCAGTGAGGTGATGAGACGAGTGGAATCCAATATTGACTGAGGCGAAGGGAGATCACTCTCAATCCCTTGTCCGACTACTGCTATTAGTTGGGTGAAGTGCTCGTAATATATCCCATGTGGCGACACTTGTGTTTTAGAGAAGAAAGGCAATTCTCGATTCGCACTCCTTTATAAAGGAAGCCACAATTATTGTTACATTAGAAACGATTAGCTATTATATTGGAATATAAAATTTATTCCAGATAACAAAGTATCAGAGAGCTGTCCTCGGAGAATATCCCGTGTCACATTTGTCGCCACATAAACATTTAGAAGTGTCTGATCTTAAGGTAACCCCACCTATTTAGAAATCTTCTGCTAAGTGCAGATCATGAAATTGGGACACAGCAGCACAGCAATATAGAGGCAGCATTCACTTTTTAACAATATCCATATGAATTTATGTCTCATGTTCGGAAATCTTGGGATTTGGCCAATATTGCGATGCTGCTGTCGCCCATATATTATTAGCTGTAAGGAAGAAACACTGTAGAGAAAACAGACGACTTGTGTATACATTACAGAAACATTTATTCAGATGACCGAAAGTCGAAAGTAATATGCCTCAAGGGAGATCCAAAAACGGGCCAAAATTGTATAGAAAGTATGGTCTTGTGCCATGCTAATAAGCCAAGAGGTTTGCCGAAAGGAAGCTGAAAGTTGGGCCAAAACTGTGAGCCTAAAAATACGCCAAAAATACGCTAAGAGCGGGTATATGGAATGGTACTCTCTCTCTCTCTCTCTCTCTCTCTCTCTCTCTCTCTCTCTCTCATACTGTATGCTCGTTCATTCACTCTAACCCTCACCTCTAACATGCATCCACTCTCCCTCTCACACATACAAACATACATACACACATTATTATACATACATGCTCATTCACTCTCTCACACTCACACACAAATACACACACATACATGCATACAGACAGACAGACAGACATGCCGATTCAATCTTTCATTTACTCTCACACACGCACACAATACACACACACACACACACACACAAACATACATATTCATTCAGTCTCTCTTTCTCACACACTTATACATACACACACATGCATGTTCATTCAAACTTATATTTACTCTCACACAAACGCACACATACATACATACATACATACATACATACATACATACATACACACCTGCTCATTCATTCACTCACTTGCACACATTCAGACATTAAAAGGATAAGGAGTCTAAGAGAAGATCTTCCTAAAGAAGGCAGCCGCTCTCGTCAGCGCCTTTCTAAGGGGATGAATCTCTCTGTCATCCACAAAGCTGTGGTCGTCCTCGTCCTCGTACACCCAGTAGTCACTGTCATCGTCGTCACTTGGGGCAGGATAGTAAGCGGCGTGGTTGATGGTGACGGGGGCGGGGAGCGTCTCACCGTAGACAGGGCGGGCCCAGAACGGAGTGAAAACGCTCAGGGGGTCGGGACAACGGGAAGGGGACACAGCCAGGGAACGCTACACATCGAGGGGTGGAGGGAGGGACAAAGGAAGTCAAGTGAGACAGAAATACGGGATACTTTTGCAAAGGAAACGAATCACACTTTATTATAGGGACTGGGCAGACTTAATGTGCAACAAATCAGCTATACTAGACGGAAGAATTTATAGGGTGGGCATGTAAAACTACATACACAGTCGGACTCCTCATCCTGAGACGGCCACAAACTCACAGCCGCAGGAGTGCCATAATAGCGAATTATGTCCTCCCGAGCTGAAAAAGAAAAACGAAAGCTAGCCTCAGTTAAATGTACGCCGACGGCTACGTTCAAAAAATCACAATTCATGACTTCTGACAGCTACAGTATGCCACTCGACCTCGGCCCTTTGACACCTCGAAGTCCAAGTGTATGTAGGGTTACGGGCTGTACTGCAAGACAACATTTAACCAATAAAATGGGCCAAACAGCTGCCTTTCACGGAATACGGGTTATCTTACATCTGTACAACATCGCCCGACACTATAATGTACGAACAGGTTTCATCTGAGAACCACATGTCAAGTTTACAATCTAACATTTTCAGTTATGACAATTGCAAATGGCGGCCGCCATCTTCAGTCCCGATACTGCTGCCTAACAACGACCAATTTCACGTCTAATTTAACATCTTAATACTGTTAAGTGGAATAATTGTGATCTTAAATACCTTGAATGTGAAGCCTTGTATTCATCTTGGAAGAAGACACACTTGGAATGATACAGCAGTGAGCGAAACGTAGAGGTCAGCGGAGCAAAAGCGATCGTTTTTCTGTTGAAAACAGAAGGGACGTCGATAACGGCAACGGTAACTACGTTACGGAGTTAAGTGAGTCAGAACGAGGCTCATCGCCAGCTTCCGGCGTGGTAAAGCCTAATGGCATTGCCAAGGGTGAAAACTGCCGGGTTTATTTCGTCTGAACACCGGTATTAAGTTGTATCTTACAACTGAAACGTTGCCTACATCAGTTCAGAGTTTGAAAAAATTGTGCAGGTGAAACTGGGTGTTTTTCGTGCCTCCATTACCCGAAACAGGGTGAATTTTGTTCACTATGAGATGGACATTAACCTTAAACGTTTGCTATGCCGAATAGCGATACCATATAACGACCCTCTATTATACTAGCCTTCACAATACCTTTTACATTCGACAAACTGACACGGGCTAGCAGGCTAGTAAGAATGCACATCTCTGATAATCCAAGTGGGATTTGGGAATTATTCCCAAGCCTACAGGGATAAAATAAAAGTTCAATGGTACTGGTATTTTCCAACGTGTGCAGCGACAGTTCTTATTTGGTTTGATTTCTAATCTGGAAACACGACGACCACAGAAAAAAGCTAATAGGAGAGAAACAATAAATGACAAGCATATTGGTTTTTACTACACTAGGCCTGAGGGGCCGACCATTTCATGTTCCTTTGGAAGGGGGAGTGGGCGACGTTGGATTTTGTATGGAGACTAGATATTTTGCAGCTACAAATGCAAAATCAGTTAATATAAACTATGAGCCTAAATAAAACATTTTTCAAAAACCCACCTTGCAACAACGTATTTTTGGTGGCCGACATGTTCTTTTTGTCCAACAGATGGAAGCATATTTAGTTTTCAATCAACTTTGGAGACAATATATTTTTTTCTGAAAAAATCCTAGCCACCCACACACTCACAGTCAGAGAAATCCTATTGACCGTCCCATTTTGAAAACCTTGATGTGGACGTACAGGGGTAGAATTCAGACCCCTTGTATCATTTAGGTATTTTTGTAGAATGCCATATACGAATATTACGTCATATATATATATATATTAATCTACTCTTGCATACAAGTGGGTGTCAATATAGGCTTTCTACTTGCGCCTGGCCTCGGCCTATGTATAAAAGCATGCCCTCTGCAATTTCTGAAGACCACGGGCCAAAAGACCAGCAGTGAGGTGATGAGACGAGTGGAATCCAATATTGACTGAGGCGAAGGGAGATCACTCTCAATCCCTTGTCCGACTACTGCTATTAGTTGGGTGAAGTGCTCGTAATATATCCCATGTGGCGACACTTGTGTTTTAGAGAAGAAAGGCAATTCTCGATTCGCACTCCTTTATAAAGGAAGCCACAATTATTGTTACATTAGAAACGATTAGCTATTATATTGGAATATAAAATTTATTCCAGATAACAAAGTATCAGAGAGCTGTCCTCAGAGAATATCCCGTGTCACAATTGTCGCCACATAAACATTTAGAAGTGTCTGATCTTAAGGTAACCCCACCTATTTAGAAATCTTCTGCTAAGTGCAGATCATGAAATTGGGACACAGCAGCACAGCAATATAGAGGCAGCATTCACTTTTTAACAATATCCATATGAATTTATGTCTCATGTTCGGAAATCTTGGGATTTGGCCAATATTGCGATGCTGCTGTCGCCCATATATTATTAGCTGTAAGGAAGAAACACTGTAGAGAAAACAGACGACTTGTGTATACATTACAGAAACATTTATTCAGATGACCGAAAGTCGAAAGTAATATGCCTCAAGGGAGATCCAAAAACGGGCCAAAATTGTATAGAAAGTATGGTCTTGTGCCATGCTAATAAGCCAAGAGGTTTGCCGAAAGGAAGCTGAAAGTTGGGCCAAAACTGTGAGCCTAAAAATACGCCAAAAATACGCTAAGAGCGGGTATATGGAATGGTACTCTCTCTCTCTCTCTCTCTCTCTCTCTCTCTCATACATGTATGCTCGTTCATTCACTCTAACCCTCACCTCTAACATGCATCCACTCTCCCTCTCACACATACAAACATACATACATACACACATTATTATACATACATGCTCATTCACTCTCTCACACTCACACACAAATACACACACATACATGCATACAGACAGACAGACAGACATGCCGATTCAATCTTTCATTTACTCTCACACACGCACACAATACACACACACACACACACACAAACATACATATTCATTCAGTCTCTCTTTCTCACACACTTATACATACACACACATGCATGTTCATTCAAACTTATATTTACTCTCACACAAACGCACACATACATACATACATACATACATACATACATACATACATACATACATACACACCTGCTCATTCATTCACTCACTTGCACACATTCAGACATTAAAAGGATAAGGAGTCTAAGAGAAGATCTTCCTAAAGAAGGCAGCCGCTCTCGTCAGCGCCTTTCTAAGGGGATGAATCTCTCTGTCATCCACAAAGCTGTGGTCGTCCTCGTCCTCGTACACCCAGTAGTCACTGTCATCGTCGTCACTTGGGGCAGGATAGTAAGCGGCGTGGTTGATGGTGACGGGGGCGGGGAGCGTCTCACCGTAGACAGGGCGGGCCCAGAACGGAGTGAAAACGCTCAGGGGGTCGGGACAACGGGAAGGGGACACAGCCAGGGAACGCTACACATCGAGGGGTGGAGGGAGGGACAAAGGAAGTCAAGTGAGACAGAAATACGGGATACTTTTGCAAAGGAAACGAATCACACTTTATTATAGGGACTGGGCAGACTTAATGTGCAACAAATCAGCTATACTAGACGGAAGAATTTATAGGGTGGGCATGTAAAACTACATACACAGTCGGACTCCTCATCCTGAGACGGCCACAAACTCACAGCCGCAGGAGTGCCATAATAGCGAATTATGTCCTCCCGAGCTGAAAAAGAAAAACGAAAGCTAGCCTCAGTTAAATGTACGCCGACGGCTACGTTCAAAAAATCACAATTCATGACTTCTGACAGCTACAGTATGCCACTCGACCTCGGCCCTTTGACACCTCGAAGTCCAAGTGTATGTAGGGTTACGGGCTGTACTGCAAGACAACATTTAACCAATAAAATGGGCCAAACAGCTGCCTTTCACGGAATACGGGTTATCTTACATCTGTACAACATCGCCCGACACTATAATGTACGAACAGGTTTCATCTGAGAACCACATGTCAAGTTTACAATCTAACATTTTCAGTTATGACAATTGCAAATGGCGGCCGCCATCTTCAGTCCCGATAATGCTGCCTAACAACGACCAATTTCACGTCTAATTTAACATCTTAATACTGTTAAGTGGAATAATTGTGATCTTAAATACCTTGAATGTGAAGCCTTGTATTCATCTTGGAAGAAGACACACTTGGAATGATACAGCAGTGAGCGAAACGTAGAGGTCAGCGGAGCAAAAGCGATCGTTTTTCTGTTGAAAACAGAAGGGACGTCGATAACGGCAACGGTAACTACGTTACGGAGTTCGATGAGTCAGAACGAGGCTCATCGCCAGCTTCCGGCGTGGTAAAGCCTAATGGCATTGCCAAGGGTGAAAACTGCCGGGTTTATTTCGTCTGAACACCGGTATTAAGTTGTATCTTACAACTGAAACGTTGCCTACATCAGTTCAGAGTTTGAAAAAATTGTGCAGGTGAAACTGGGTGTTTTTCGTGCCTCCATTACCCGAAACAGGGTGAATTTTGTTCACTATGAGATGGACATTAACCTTAAACGTTTGCTATGCCGAATAGCGATACCATATAACGACCCTCTATTATACTAGCCTTCACAATACCTTTTACATTCGACAAACTGACACGGGCTAGCAGGCTAGTAAGAATGCACATCTCTGATAATCCAAGTGGGATTTGGGAATTATTCCCAAGCCTACAGGGATAAAATAAAAGTTCAATGGTACTGGTATTTTCCAACGTGTGCAGCGACAGTTCTTATTTGGTTTGATTTCTAATCTGGAAACACGACGACCACAGAAAAAAGCTAATAGGAGAGAAACAATAAATGACAAGCATATTGGTTTTTACTACACTAGGCCTGAGGGGCCGACCATTTCATGTTCCTTTGGAAGGGGGAGTGGGCGACGTTGGATTTTGTATGGAGACTAGATATTTTGCAGCTACAAATGCAAAATCAGTTAATATAAACTATGAGCCTAAATAAAACATTTTTCAAAAACCCACCTTGCAACAACGTATTTTTGGTGGCCGACATGTTCTTTTTGTCCAACAGATGGAAGCATATTTAGTTTTCAATCAACTTTGGAGACAATATATTTTTTTCTGAAAAAATCCTAGCCACCCACACACTCACAGTCAGAGAAATCCTATTGACCGTCCCATTTTGAAAACCTTGATGTGGACGTACAGGGGTAGAATTCAGACCCCTTGTATCATTTAGGTATTTTTGTAGAATGCCAGATACGAATATTACGTCATATATATATATATATTAATCTACTCTTGCATACAAGTGGGTGTCAATATAGGCTTTCTACTTGCGCCTGGCCTCGGCCTATGTATAAAAGCATGCCCTCTGCAATTTCTGAAGACCACGGGCCAAAAGACCAGCAGTGAGGTGATGAGACGAGTGGAATCCAATATTGACTGAGGCGAAGGGAGATCACTCTCAATCCCTTGTCCGACTACTGCTATTAGTTGGGTGAAGTGCTCGTAATATATCCCATGTGGCGACACTTGTGTTTTAGAGAAGAAAGGCAATTCTCGATTCGCACTCCTTTATAAAGGAAGCCACAATTATTGTTACATTAGAAACGATTAGCTATTATATTGGAATATAAAATTTATTCCAGATAACAAAGTATCAGAGAGCTGTCCTCAGAGAATATCCCGTGTCACAATTGTCGCCACATAAACATTTAGAAGTGTCTGATCTTAAGGTAACCCCACCTATTTAGAAATCTTCTGCTAAGTGCAGATCATGAAATTGGGACACAGCAGCACAGCAATATAGAGGCAGCATTCACTTTTTAACAATATCCATATGAATTTATGTCTCATGTTCGGAAATCTTGGGATTTGGCCAATATTGCGATGCTGCTGTCGCCCATATATTATTAGCTGTAAGGAAGAAACACTGTAGAGAAAACAGACGACTTGTGTATACATTACAGAAACATTTATTCAGATGACCGAAAGTCGAAAGTAATATGCCTCAAGGGAGATCCAAAAACGGGCCAAAATTGTATAGAAAGTATGGTCTTGTGCCATGCTAATAAGCCAAGAGGTTTGCCGAAAGGAAGCTGAAAGTTGGGCCAAAACTGTGAGCCTAAAAATACGCCAAAAATACGCTAAGAGCGGGTATATGGAATGGTACTCTCTCTCTCTCTCTCTCTCTCATACATGTATGCTCGTTCATTCACTCTAACCCTCACCTCTAACATGCATCCACTCTCCCTCTCACACATACAAACATACATACATACACACATTATTATACATACATGCTCATTCACTCTGTCACACTCACACACAAATACACACACATACATGCATACAGACAGACAGACAGACATGCCGATTCAATCTTTCATTTACTCTCACACACGCACACAATACACACACACACACACACACACAAACATACATATTCATTCAGTCTCTCTTTCTCACACACTTATACGTACACACACATGCATGTTCATTCAAACTTATATTTACTCTCACACAAACGCACACATACATACATACATACATACATACATACATACATACATACATACATACACACCTGCTCATTCATTCACTCACTTGCACACATTCAGACATTAAAAGGATAAGGAGTCTAAGAGAAGATCTTCCTAAAGAAGGCAGCCGCTCTCGTCAGCGCCTTTCTAAGGGGATGAATCTCTCTGTCATCCACAAAGCTGTGGTCGTCCTCGTCCTCGTACACCCAGTAGTCACTGTCATCGTCGTCACTTGGGGCAGGATAGTAAGCGGCGTGGTTGATGGTGACGGGGGCGGGGAGCGTCTCACCGTAGACAGGGCGGGCCCAGAACGGAGTGAAAACGCTCAGGGGGTCGGGACAACGGGAAGGGGACACAGCCAGGGAACGCTACACATCGAGGGGTGGAGGGAGGGACAAAGGAAGTCAAGTGAGACAGAAATACGGGATACTTTTGCAAAGGAAACGAATCACACTTTATTATAGGGACTGGGCAGACTTAATGTGCAACAAATCAGCTATACTAGACGGAAGAATTTATAGGGTGGGCATGTAAAACTACATACACAGTCGGACTCCTCATCCTGAGACGGCCACAAACTCACAGCCGCAGGAGTGCCATAATAGCGAATTATGTCCTCCCGAGCTGAAAAAGAAAAACGAAAGCTAGCCTCAGTTAAATGTACGCCGACGGCTACGTTCAAAAAATCACAATTCATGACTTCTGACAGCTACAGTATGCCACTCGACCTCGGCCCTTTGACACCTCGAAGTCCAAGTGTATGTAGGGTTACGGGCTGTACTGCAAGACAACATTTAACCAATAAAATGGGCCAAACAGCTGCCTTTCACGGAATACGGGTTATCTTACATCTGTACAACATCGCCCGACACTATAATGTACGAACAGGTTTCATCTGAGAACCACATGTCAAGTTTACAATCTAACATTTTCAGTTATGACAATTGCAAATGGCGGCCGCCATCTTCAGTCCCGATAATGCTGCCTAACAACGACCAATTTCACGTCTAATTTAACATCTTAATACTGTTAAGTGGAATAATTGTGATCTTAAATACCTTGAATGTGAAGCCTTGTATTCATCTTGGAAGAAGACACACTTGGAATGATACAGCAGTGAGCGAAACGTAGAGGTCAGCGGAGCAAAAGCGATCGTTTTTCTGTTGAAAACAGAAGGGACGTCGATAACGGCAACGGTAACTACGTTACGGAGTTCGATGAGTCAGAACGAGGCTCATCGCCAGCTTCCGGCGTGGTAAAGCCTAATGGCATTGCCAAGGGTGAAAACTGCCGGGTTTATTTCGTCTGAACACCGGTATTAAGTTGTATCTTACAACTGAAACGTTGCCTACATCAGTTCAGAGTTTGAAAAAATTGTGCAGGTGAAACTGGGTGTTTTTCGTGCCTCCATTACCCGAAACAGGGTGAATTTTGTTCACTATGAGATGGACATTAACCTTAAACGTTTGCTATGCCGAATAGCGATACCATATAACGACCCTCTATTATACTAGCCTTCACAATACCTTTTACATTCGACAAACTGACACGGGCTAGCAGGCTAGTAAGAATGCACATCTCTGATAATCCAAGTGGGATTTGGGAATTATTCCCAAGCCTACAGGGATAAAATAAAAGTTCAATGGTACTGGTATTTTCCAACGTGTGCAGCGACAGTTCTTATTTGGTTTGATTTCTAATCTGGAAACACGACGACCACAGAAAAAAGCTAATAGGAGAGAAACAATAAATGACAAGCATATTGGTTTTTACTACACTAGGCCTGAGGGGCCGACCATTTCATGTTCCTTTGGAAGGGGGAGTGGGCGACGTTGGATTTTGTATGGAGACTAGATATTTTGCAGCTACAAATGCAAAATCAGTTAATATAAACTATGAGCCTAAATAAAACATTTTTCAAAAACCCACCTTGCAACAACGTATTTTTGGTGGCCGACATGTTCTTTTTGTCCAACAGATGGAAGCATATTTAGTTTTCAATCAACTTTGGAGACAATATATTTTTTTCTGAAAAAATCCTAGCAACCCACACACTCACAGTCAGAGAAATCCTATTGACCGTCCCATTTTGAAAACCTTGATGTGGACGTACAGGGGTAGAATTCAGACCCCTTGTATCATTTAGGTATTTTTGTAGAATGCCAGATACGAATATTACGTCATATATATATATATATTAATCTACTCTTGCATACAAGTGGGTGTCAATATAGGCTTTCTACTTGCGCCTGGCCTCGGCCTATGTATAAAAGCATGCCCTCTGCAATTTCTGAAGACCACGGGCCAAAAGACCAGCAGTGAGGTGATGAGACGAGTGGAATCCAATATTGACTGAGGCGAAGGGAGATCACTCTCAATCCCTTGTCCGACTACTGCTATTAGTTGGGTGAAGTGCTCGTAATATATCCCATGTGGCGACACTTGTGTTTTAGAGAAGAAAGGCAATTCTCGATTCGCACTCCTTTATAAAGGAAGCCACAATTATTGTTACATTAGAAACGATTAGCTATTATATTGGAATATAAAATTTATTCCAGATAACAAAGTATCAGAGAGCTGTCCTCAGAGAATATCCCGTGTCACAATTGTCGCCACATAAACATTTAGAAGTGTCTGATCTTAAGGTAACCCCACCTATTTAGAAATCTTCTGCTAAGTGCAGATCATGAAATTGGGACACAGCAGCACAGCAATATAGAGGCAGCATTCACTTTTTAACAATATCCATATGAATTTATGTCTCATGTTCGGAAATCTTGGGATTTGGCCAATATTGCGATGCTGCTGTCGCCCATATATTATTAGCTGTAAGGAAGAAACACTGTAGAGAAAACAGACGACTTGTGTATACATTACAGAAACATTTATTCAGATGACCGAAAGTCGAAAGTAATATGCCTCAAGGGAGATCCAAAAACGGGCCAAAATTGTATAGAAAGTATGGTCTTGTGCCATGCTAATAAGCCAAGAGGTTTGCCGAAAGGAAGCTGAAAGTTGGGCCAAAACTGTGAGCCTAAAAATACGCCAAAAATACGCTAAGAGCGGGTATATGGAATGGTACTCTCTCTCTCTCTCTCTCTCTCTCTCTCTCTCTCTCATACATGTATGCTCGTTCATTCACTCTAACCCTCACCTCTAACATGCATCCACTCTCCCTCTCACACATACAAACATACATACATACACACATTATTATACATACATGCTCATTCACTCTCTCACACTCACACACAAATACACACACATACATGCATACAGACAGACAGACATGCCGATTCAATCTTTCATTTACTCTCACACACGCACACAATACACACACACACACACACACAAACATACATATTCATTCAGTCTCTCTTTCTCACACACTTATACATATACATACACACACATGCATGTTCATTCAAACTTATATTTACTCACACACAAATACACAAACATACATGCATACAGACAGACATGCCGATTCAATCTTTCATTTACTCTCACACACGCACACAATACACACACACACACACACACAAACATACATATTCATTCAGTCTCTCTTTCTCACACACATATACATACACACACATGCATGTTCATTCAAACTTATATTTACTCTCACACATACATACATACATACATACATACACACCTGCTCATTCATTCACTCACTTGCACACATTCAGACATTAAAAGGATAAGGAGTCTAAGAGAAGATCTTCCTAAAGAAGGCAGCCGCTCTCGTCAGCGCCTTTCTAAGGGGATGAATCTCTCTGCCATCCACAAAGCTGTGGTCGTCCTCGTCCTCGTACACCCAGTAGTCACTGTCATCGTCGTCACTTGGGGCAGGATAGTAAGCGGCGTGGTTGATGGTGACGGGGGCGGGGAGCGTCTCACCGTAGACAGGGCGGGCCCAGAACGGAGTGAAAACGCTCAGGGGGTCGGGACAACGGGAAGGGGACACAGCCAGGGAACGCTACACATCGAGGGGTGGAGGGAGGGACAAAGGAAGTCAAGTGAGACAGAAATACGGGATACTTTTGCAAAGAAAACGAATCACACTTTATTATAGGGACTGGGCAGACTTAATGTGCAACAAATCAGCTATACTAGACGGAAGAATTTATAGGGTGGGCATGTAAAACTACATACACAGTCGGACTCCTCATCCTGAGACGGCCACAAACTCACAGCCGCAGGAGTGCCATAATAGCGAATTATGTCCTCCCGAGCTGAAAAAGAAAAACGAAAGCTAGCCTCAGTTAAATGTACGCCGACGGCTACGTTCAAAAAAACACAATTCATGACTTCTGACAGCTACAGTATGCCACTCGACCTCGGCCCTTTGACACCTCGAAGTCCAAGTGTATGTAGGGTTACGGGCTGTACTGCAAGACGACATTTAACCAATAAAATGGGCCAAACAGCTGCCTTTCACGGAATACGGGTTATCTTACATCTGTTTAACATCGCCCGACACTATAATGTACGAACAGGTTTCATCTGAGAACCACATGTCAAGTTTACAATCTAACATTTTCAGTTATGACAATTGCAAATGGCGGCCGCCATCTTCAGTCCCGATACTGCTGCCTTACAACGACCAATTTCACGTCTAATTTAACATCTTAATACTGTTAAGTGGAATAATTATGATCTTAAATACCTTGAATGTGAAGCCTTGTATTCATCTTGGAAGAAGACACACTTGGAATGATACAG